TTTTCCTGGGCTCCATTTGCTTGTTGCCGGGCGCTGCCATTTTTAAATGTCCGCTAGTTTGGACTCCGTGCCTGCAGCTACACGCGGCACAAACTAGGTAGTTCGGAATAGGAAGCCTAGTCCGAACTACCTAGTTCGTGCCGCGTGTAGCCGCGGGCACGGAGTCCGAACTAGCGGACATTTAAAAATGGCGGCGCCCGGCAACATGCAAATGAAGCCCGGGAAATTCAAATCCCGGGCTTCATTTGCAACTCCGGTTGCCTACATTACCACCCTAGTTCGAACTAGGGTGGTAGTGTAGACATACCTATAGAGACTTAATCATCTGGTAGGACAACACTGATTGGAGAAAACATTTTCATCATTTTTGTTAATGAAGTAAACTCCACCCTCTACTCAAGCTGATTTGCATCTCAAGAATACAAATGGCAAAACACTCTCTCTCTCTCCTATGCTGGAACGCAGGGCTCCAAAGCAGTCTGCTGATTTAGCAAAGCTTCAGAAAGTTTCAAGAAAATCCAATGAGTTAGATTAGGGGGATGCATCCACTGCTTGCTATGCTCACCCTCAGGCCACAATCCGGCTGTGGTGGACACTCTTCCTATTCATGCCACAGCACAAGGGAAGTGGGGGAGGGATTGGACCATGGGGCCTGCTCCAAGATCAGGGCTAGGGTTGCCAGGTGTCTAGTATTCTACCAAACAGTCCGGTTTTTGCACCCTCAGTCCAGTAAAAATAATTCAGAAAATACCAGACGTGCAATGTCCGGTATTTTCTGTTTTTCCAGCTGGGCACTGGACAGAAGCCTCGCGGGGGGAGTGGCTGGGAGGCGGGGCTGCGATCGGTGCGGGGAGCCCTCAGCTGATTGTGTCTGAGGAGGAGTGACACCATGTGGAGGAGGAGAAGCCCTGTCCCTGCTCCTGAGCGCTGTTCAAGCGAGTTGTGGCGCCGTACTGCAGGAAAGAAGCCCGCAGGTGCTTTGTAGTTGAGTTTAGGTGCCTTCCATGGGCTCTCAGCCAAAACTGATCTGGGGGTGAGGGTGGGGGGACTTGTCTTCAGGTCCTGTGCCGGTCCCAGGCTTAGCCTCCTGCTGCTCCCATTAGCTGGAATCTGGCCAATGGGAGTGCAGAAAAGCCTCCAGACAGTGTGCTGCTGTTCCCCCCGCCTGGGAGAGGGAGTGCTTCTTCCCCATACAACAAGGCTCAGGGCTCTGTCTCCACCCTTCCGCTCCAGCAGCAGGAAGCCAGCACTGTTGCTTTAACCCCATGGGGGAGGAGGGATGGCGAGGCTGCAGTGCCAGGCCAAGGGGGCCTGGGCTGCCCAGGTCAGCGCTGCTGGGTGCCTCCTCACCCGCCTTGCAGAAGTGCTGCTTGCTGCTGCAGCCCTACGCATGGCTGGGTGGGAGGGAGCCAGTCTGGGCTTAGAAGACGGGCTGGGCTCATGTCTCACCGGGGTAGCTTGACATGGGGCTCAGAGCACAGCCACTCAGGGCGTGGCATTGGATGGGGTGGCTAGGCATGCAGGGCACCTCGCCCTGTGCCTGGTGCTTCTCCTGAGCTTCTTGGCCCAGCCACCTGTGAGCACCAAGAACAACAGTGGTGCAAACAAGCGGCCCTGGGAGCCTCCACTCCCACGCCCAGGGACTTGCACCAACTGAACCAGCCCTTGGGGACAGGTCACCCAAAAGGCTGTGGCCAGAGCTGAGTGTGCAGGATGCCTGGGAGGCAGAATCTGCACAGGCTGGGCTGCCAGGCGGTTTTGCTGGTCCCCGAACACATCTGAGGCAGGGAGCCGGTGCGAGGGTAGAGCCTGTGGATGCAGATGATGTAGGATGTCATTCTGTTGTCCTATAGGAAAATGTTATATATAAAAGAGGGACAGAGGGGTGTGCACAAAAGAAGCAACTTTTTGGAGTGTTGTTTGGAATATTTAAGCTGTTATCCAAGAATGCAAATCAAAGTAGGGACGTTAGATATCGTATATCTAGTGTGATGTTACATATTGTGTATCTGCATACAGAGGCAGCAGCACGGGGGTGGGGAGGCAGGTGGGAGGCGTTCTGCCGGGGGAGCAAGTTTAAAAACCAGCTCCTTGTGCAGACAGGCTCTGGCTGAGGCACCCTGCGCTGCTGCCTGCAGACCAGCCTCTCTCTGTGGCAAACCTGGGCCACCATGGACA